CCCTCCGTCCTGCCACAGTCTTGGGTAGGGGCTCAGGGCCAACTGAAGCCTGGGGGTGGGGGGGCGGGCCGCCTGCAGAGGAAGGCAAGCAGCAAGCTGTTGCCATGGAGACCAGGCTGCAACCTCCCTGCTCCCCTGAGACTCATTTCCATGGAGCAAAGCCTCCTCACCCCACCTCAGCACAGTGATAACTACAAGCGGGGACCCTCAGGAGATGGGGCAGGGCGTGGGGCAGGCAGAGCAGAGCCCGTCTCCTCCCTGGCTCGGCGCTCACGGGGAAGAGGGCTGTGGCAAAGCCCTCCGAGCAGTCGTTAGCCTAGGAGGGTCTGCCTGGTCTTCCGGAAACTCCCAGAACACCTGGTACCTGCCCTGTGCACCTGCGGCCCAAGCTGGCTGCTGCAGGGGAAGTGCACCGAGGGAGAGGGCAGGACACTTCCAACTCAGGGAGCTACCTGCAAAGGGACTGGGGGGAAGGGCTGTGGGTGCCCCCAGACTTCACAGGCACTGCTGCCTGCCAGGCACGCAAGTGTGTAAACACCACCGCAGGGACAGGTGTGCTCCCATGCGCAGAGCGTGCGCGAGTCAGATGACTGGAGAAATGCTGAGGCAGGCGGGGGTGGGAGAGGTGGCGGGGGCCAGTTCGGGCCAGGGGGTCACGGAGGGCCTCACTGATAAGTGACATTTGAGCCATGAGCTGGAAGAGCTGAAGGGGGAGCCCGGAAGTGGGAGTGCCCTGGGGCACCCTCAGCAAGGGAGGCATGAGACCAAGCCTGGACGGACAGTGGAGAGCGGGAGGTCGGAGGAGGCCAGGAGAGACCAGGGGTGTTCTGAGAACAGGAAGTGGCATGAGGAAGGGCTGAGCCAGAGAGCAACATGGGGGAAGTGGCGCCCTGGGGGAGGCAGCATCGTCAGACTCTGGCAGGGCAGTGGGGGTGCAGGAGGAGGGGAGCCACGACGAGGAAGCCAAGGCCGGGGGTGCCGAGGTTGCCAGGCTGGGTAACCAGGAGACGGGGAGTCTGCGTCAGCAGCAGCCGTGCAGTGGGGCCGCACTAATTGCTGTCACCGACAACAGCCTGTGTGCGTGTCACAACAAGGTGGCCGGAGCCACCAAGGCGGGCACAGCCCTGCGCCCTCCCCCAGTGGAGGCTGCAGCATCTTTCAGTACCTGTCACCGAGGGGTCACAGCCAGCACGCTGGAGCCTAAAGCTCGTGCACACCACCCGAGGCCCGGGTCCCCAGCCGAGCTGGTTCTCTTTAAACTCTCAGTCCCAAACAGATGGGGCAGCCCCTCAGAAAGCCAGGCCTTAAAAACGTGAGGTCCCTCATGTCATCTTTATGCCCTAAAGTGCTAAAGGGGTCTGAGGCTCCTCTGTGCGGTCGACAGAGGGGTGCATTGTGCCCCAAATTGGGCTGCCACCCAGACACAGGGCAGGCTGGCGAGGCCGGCTGCCTCTGCTCAGGTGTCCCCAGCTGGTCCCAGGCCCTCCTCTGCTGCCCTCTGCTCCCCCAGCAGCCGTAACCAGAGGCTTCCCTCTCTCATTTGTTTTTTAATAACAAGGACTTAAAGAGCTGAACTGCTCCTTAAAGTCGCTGTGGGGCTGAGTGTCCCCACACAGAGCCGGCCTCCGACAGGCGAGGGCACGGAGAGCTGCATTCCCTCGCGCGCTCATGTTCTGGGCCCTTCTGGACCTAAGGGAGGGCCGCTCCTCCTCAGTGGGCCACGGTGGTTCCTGGTCGGACTCAGGGGTGGCGCCCCCACCCCAGATCAGAGGACCCCGAAGCAACAGGCCCAGCTCTGGTGTGGCAGGCTCACAGGCTGCGTGGGAGCTGCCGTTTGGCTAAGACCTGTCCCACTGCCTGGAGAACAGAATCTGGGGGCCTCTGTGTGGGGATATCCCCAAAAGAGGGAGACCCAGGCCAAGGCTGAGGACAGGCCTTCCCTCCCCTGAGGCCTTAAACGGGCCCCAAGAGATGAAGATGGGGTCCTGGGCTGTAACGGGGCGCAGCCAGAGACAGCGACCACCCCCTTTGAGACGGGCCTCTGAGCTCAGGAAGGGCTGAGCCGCGGGCCTGCCACTCGCTGCTTTCCCCCAGCCTGTGCCCGCTGCCCCGACTCAGAGACGAGGACCCAGGGGCTAGGGCGGGCCAAGGGCACCAACGGGATCAGGGTTATGGCGGCCAACGTGAAGGAAGCCTGTCACCCGAGGGTCCGGGGAATGCCTGCACGGAAGCTCATCACAGAGGCAGGCTGTCGCCGGGGATGAGGGGTGAGGGTGGGGCACCGCTCTGCCCAGTGCCCTCCCCCGTCCAGCTCCAGCCTGGACAGCGAGGGCACAGCCACACCCCAGACTCTGCCTTCGTCTGCCCCCGCCACCCAGCTCTTCATGACTGAGAAACGAACCCGGAGCCCGGAGCACAGGGGTGGGGGCTCCGCATGTTCTCGAGGGCTCTGGAACCATGAGCAGCAGGCCGGCCCCCGCGTCCCACTCCCCTTTGTGACCAAGTGAACCCGGGAGTTCCCTGGGACAGGACAGCTCAGGCACCCGCCCCGCCCCCACCAGGCCACTTACCAAATCGGCCCATCATCATCCTGCAAACAGAGCAGAGAGAGCGTCAGGGGGCACTCAGAGCATCGGGTCAGGGTCACCCACGTGCAGAGAGCGTCTCTGGTCCCTCATAGTTTCCTCGCAGCTCAGGGGAGGGTGATGGGATCAACCAGAAGGCCCAGGGGAAGGGCTGCCATGAGATGAGTCTCAGCGTGCTCCCTGGGGTCCCGCAGCTGAGGCACCCGCGGACTGGCAGCCTCGCACAAGGTCAGCAGCACATGGCCCACTGGAGCCAGAGCGGCCCACGTGTGGACACAGGTCCTGGCGCCGCCACGGAATGGGCACCGTCAAACCCAAGGCTGCAGACCCCCCGGCACCACGGGTCAGCAAGTAAACGCAACACGCTCGCTGGGGCTCCTGAATGAGAGGGCCCTCCAGATCCACCAGGCCGGCTGCCCCTGCAGGCAGGTGAGGCTGAAGTGCCCCAAGGACAGTGAGGCCTGGCTGGCCCGGGTTCCCAGTGTGAGTGCAGGTCCTCCCGTACGCTGTCCTCCCGTACGCTGCTGTTCTGAGACACGGGAGGCCCTTCTTTCGTCCCTAGATCCCTGCAGGCCCAACTCCTTTGGCCCCATCTTAACATTAACCACTTACTACGTGCAGGCTGTGGGGACACAGAAATAGACGCCCTGGGGGGCTGAGCAGCGCACGGCCCCTGCCCTGGAGACGCCAAGTGGGAGAGACTCGGCATCGCTCTTAGCATGGGCCGTGCCGCTAAAAGCAAGAACACGGAGACACCATGGAACTAGGAGGAAGCCTAGCGCTCCTGCTTGGCAAGCAGGGAGAGCTTCCTAGAGGTGGAGACTGCACAACTGCTCTAGGGAAAG